AGAAAGAGAATTACTTCCCATGTCTTGCTTACAACATTCCTATTAATGCATCCCAGAATGTTGTGTGTTGTGGGGTTTTTCCCCCAATAGTGTCACACTGACTCAGGCCCAGCTTTAGGAAGTGTGGGGCCTAATTCGAACAATTTCGACGGGGCCCTGCAGCAATTTTGGTTGAGCAAAAAAAAAAAAAAAACCACACAAGTTTCAATGGGAGGGCCAGAAATTTTTTTGGTTGAGGAGTGGGGGGGGGGGAAAAAGCACACAAAAAATCCCCAGCTACCTCTCCTGCAAAGCCTCGGAGGTAGCTCACTCTCACTCACACGGCACAGGGAAACCCTGCGCTCAACTCACACTTCCTCTTCCGCAGTGCACCCGGCACACTTCCGGGTTCAGGACGCGGGGCCCAATTCGGGGGAATCGGACGAATCGACCTAAGGCTGGCCCTGCACTGACTCATATTTAGCTTGTGGTCCACTATGACCCCCTAGGCTACATCTAGACTGCAGAGTTTTTTTCTGAAAAAAATACGTAAATTGCAAAGTGCAATTTGTGTATCTTTTTCCACTTATTTTCCAGAAGAGGCTTTTCCAAAATTTGGCCTGTCTACCTCCTCCTTTCGGAACATCCCTTATTCCTTTCACTGAGAGAAATACAGAGACGCCGAAAGAATGCACCTACTTTTTCAGGAACAGTTCCAAAAAAATGGACGTGTTCCCTGGATGCCTCGGAGTTTTTCCTGGGATCCCTCTGCAATCCCGGAAAAACTCTGCAGTCTAGACATAGCCCTAGATTCCTTTCCATAGTACAGGCAGTCCCCGGGTTACGTACAAGATAGGGACTGTAGGTTTGTTCTTAAGTTGAATCTGTATGTAAGTCGGAACTGGCGTCCAGATTCAGCCGCTGCTGAAACTGACCAGCAGCGGCTGAATCTGGACGCCAGTTCCGACTTACATACAGATTCAATTTAAGAACCCCAAGCGTCCCCAAGACAGCTGCTGCTGAAACTGATCAGCGGCTGATTCCAGGAAGCCCGGGGCAGAGCAACTCTGCCTCCGGCTTCCTGTAGTCAGCGCTGGTCAGTTTCAGCAGCGGCTGATTCAGGATGCCTGGAGCAGAGCAGCTGGGGTGCTGCCACGTTGGTCCAGTAGCGCTGAGGAGGGGCGCTACTGGAGCAACCCAGCAGCACCTCAGCTGCTCTGCCCCAGGCGTCCCCAAGTCAGCCGCTGCTGAAACTGACCAGCAGCGGCTGAATCTGGACGCCAGTTCCGACTTACATACAGATTCAATTTAAGAACCCCAAGCGTCCCCAAGACAGCTGCTGCTGAAACTGATCAGCGGCTGATTCCAGGAAGCCCGGGGCAGAGCAACTCTGCCTCCGGCTTCCTGTAGTCAGCGCTGGTCAGTTTCAGCAGCGGCTGATTCAGGATGCCTGGAGCAGAGCAGCTGGGGTGCTGCCACGTTGGTCCAGTAGCGCTGAGGAGGGGCGCTACTGGAGCAACCCAGCAGCACCTCAGCTGCTCTGCCCCAGGGTCCACAAGTCTCCGAAGCGTGGTCCCCCGCCGCGACTGCGGCTTTGCTCCCGGTGCCCCTGGTCTGCTGGGGACGGTCCCCAGCAGCCCAGAGGCACCGGGAGCAGCTTTTCTCGCCCCGGAGGTCGAGGTGGCGGGACCGCTGCGCTCTGGGCGGTCCCGCTGCCTGCGAGCTCCGGGGCGAGAGAGCCCTGTTCGTAAGTGCGGATCCGACATAAGTCGGATCCGCATAACTCGGGGACTGCCTGTACTCCTTCCCATTTTGTATGTGTTTAAGTGATTGTTCCTTCCTAAGTGTAGTAGTTTGCATTTGTCCTTGTTGAATTTCATCTTGTTTCTCAGACCATTTCTCCAGTTTGTCTAGATAATTTTATCCTCCAAAACACTTGTAACTCCTCCCAGCTTGGTATCATCCATTCATATTATAAGTGTACTCTGTATACATTATCTACATCATTGATGAAGATACTGAACAGAACTGGTCCCAGAACTGATCTCTGTAGAACCTCACTCATTATACCTTACCTTCTGATGTTTGAATTGATTCCTTTATTACTTATTCCATTATCTTTCCTGGTACAGAAGTTAAAGCTGCCCCGTCTATAGTTCATACATGTATGTGTGTGTAAATATGTATATGTACAAACACATAAGATATAACTGTTAGACACTTTCCAAATATGTAAGATGTAACTCTGCCCCAGAGAGATTTCTTCCTAATAGTTTAAAAAAAATCCAAAACTCTTAACTAAGAGTTTTGACTGTATTATAATGCTGAGTTATTAACTCTATTTTATACATAAGGAACACTGAGGTTTCAGACCCAACTGAGTGCACCATCAAATCTCTGAAGGTCTTCATTCCTGTATAAAGCTAAGGCCCCCGCCCCCCTGTGGAATTTCCTTGGACATAATAATCAACCTCTCTTTAGAGCAAATAATCAGGATTACACTGCCAATACCAAACCTAATTTTGCAATGCCTTTCTAGGATATGTTAATCTTTGTGTCTCTTCTCTCTCTCTCCTCCCCCCCCTTGTTTGTTTTTCTGTTGCATCTCTCTTTTTCCAGTTAAGTATATCTCTGTATTTATCTCAGAGCTGGAAGGGATCTGAGAGGTCATCCAGTCCAGTCCCCTGTCCTCATGGCAGCACCAAGTACCACCCTGATAGATTTATCCCTGATCCCTAAAATGGCCCCCCTCAAGCATTGAACTCACAACCCTGGGTTTAGCAGGCTAATGCTCAAACCACTGTGCTATCCTTCTTCCCCAAGTCTAAATTTCAGCTCTTTCCATTTTTATCTTCCACTTTTTTCAATGTATTTTTCTGCTTCCCCCCCGGCTTATTTCTCTCACTGCATACTCCCTTTTCACTCTAATGTTTTCTCTGCAGTTTGGTACAGATTTATGCATTCATAAGCATTGAGCAGGGCACTAGTTATTAGATTTATTTTGTCTATCTAGTGATAAGCTTGCTCTTCCTGTGGATTTCCTGAGCTACATGTGAGAGATTCTTTTCAAATGACTGAACTCTGCAGTGCTTGCAAGCACTCTTCTGCCCCAGTATTCATAATAATTGATTTTTTTTTAACTTGTAATATATGACTACATTAAATGGATTTTTGTTTTTTGTTCCTTTTACTTTGGTTTTGTCTCTTATCTGGTCTTGTAGTGTTTTCCTCCCCCCTCTCCACTTAACCAGCCACCTCTGGTTCTATTTTCTGTCTACTATTTCTGTCTGCAAACACTCCCACATAGTAAACAGTTGAAGGGTGCAGGAGCAGATCTTCTATTTTGCTGATTCCTTTCTTTAAGTTGTAAGTATAAAATTGTCCATGCTGCACTGATAAAGTAGTATATCTATGGAGCTGGAACACTTTGCATAGGAAACTGCTTTAGCATCTGCTGTTTAAGAAACAAAATCCAGAATACATAGGAGTTGGGGGAGAGAGGGGCATGGTTTTGTTTGCTGGGGTATATATGATAGTGAAACAAAAAGGATAAAGTGCAAATCATTTAAAGTTGGAATGCCTTTTGGAGCTATTACTCTTATTGACTAAATAGTTAAAGATTAAAATGAAAGTTGGATTATGATATCATTGTACTGACTTGCATCAAGTGCCATGATTTTATGCTTCTTGGATTTTGAAGGAATTGACACTGATCTTAATTAGAAAATCTAGCTGTGGTTAAGGAACATAATTCAAAGTTAAGGAACATAATTCAAAATTTGTGGAGTGAGATAATGCAATAGAAACCACAGATAGATTATAGGTGAGTTGTTGTATCTTAAGACTAGTCTCTTCCTTTGTCACTTTTTCTAAATTACAATTTTAGTGGGAACTTGGCTTTCATTACATGATTTTCAGTAATAGTGACCGGGGGTGGGGGAGAGTAGTTTCAGTGACAATGGTGGAGGTGAATGCATGTAATATATTTAGGTTTATTGACACATCAATATCAGAAATGCTTAAAGACCACTATGGAAGTCAGACAACCTGGAACAGCAGTTTTCTTTTAATACCATTCTTTTGGTACGTTTGTATTTTAATAATTTTGATACATTTTGTTGCTGTTTAAACAGCCTACATTATTCTCCCTTCAGTCCTAGTGCCTTTTTCCCCTGTTGTCCAGAGAAAACAGTGGAATCTCCTAGGACAGGAGACAAGTTATTCACTGCTTGTTGGTTCTGTCACTGGCCATTGTCCCTCTGGCTCAGTTCATGTCACTTTTTGTGAGGAGTAAAAAAGGGGGGGGGGGCATTTTTCTAAGTTAGACTCCCTGGAATTGCTTTAACTTTGAAGAATAAGCAGTATTAAGTGAACATTTTAAATGGATGCATGGCGTTCTCACCAAATTAATTTTTGCCTTATGTTTCTGGCAAAAGTCTTATTTACAGTCTAGTCATTAGTTTCAATTTTTGTATTTCTTATTTTACAAGAAAGACTACCTGATCATGATGGTGCATCTTTATCAAATATTCTTTATTTTTTAAAATGGCTCAGTGGAGAGAGTATGCGTTTTCATCAGCTGTGGAATTAGATTTCCTGTTCTTGCACTTGTATAGTACAGAGATGTTGTACCCAATGCAAGTAATATTTTGATCAACTTGTTCAGCTGTTGCAAGAATCTGGTCTGTGTGGCTGATTTTAATTCTTCCCTGTACATCGCTCTTCTATTATAAAGAATGGTACTTAGCTTTTGAGGATTTTCTTTTCACAAGAGTGAAATTTAGCTATTCACTAGTAAAGGCAAACAGCAGAAATTCATGGGATGTTGCAACACCAGTATGCATTAGCTTATCCTTAATAGTTTATTTTATATTTATACAGTGCTTTATGTGTTATCCTAATTTTTCACATAGCATCTGGTTATAAATGATGATAAAGTGTTTTTTTTTAAAGTTGAACATCTATTATATTTCCTTGCAATGAAGATCTATTTATCTTAACATACTACCTTTCTGTTTCAGGCATCTATTAGCAAGCTAAAAGTAACTGAACCATGGCTCAGTTTCCAACACCTTTTGGCGGTAAGATTTTTGTTGTTTGATTTATTTTGTTTTTAAACCAGAAAAATTATATTTCTTTCTAAATGAATTCTAGACAGTAATGTCCATGAGACTCATTCCCCTAGAGTACCAAAGACCCATTCACCAAGATGAGTACCAGAAGAGCAGATAGCTAAGCATTAAAGGGTATGTCTGCTCTATGAAATTAGGTCTAATTTATTGAGGTAAACTTTCAGGATTTGATTTTATAAAGTCAAAGGTGCATGTCCCCACTAGGCACATTTGATCAACAGAGTATCGCCACTACCATGGCTACCATTGACTCTTACAGTAATGCACTATGGATAGCCATCCCACAGTTCCTGCCAACCATCAGCAATGTGAATGTCTCTGATGAGACAGTTGCAGGTAGTTCCACCTCCTCTCCCTTCTCAAAAGCAATGGCAAACCAATCATTTTGCTTCTTTTCCCCTGGTTATCCATGCAAATGCTATGTAGCATGGCAAGCATTGACCCTGTTCTGCACTGCTTGCTGCAGCAGTGTATAGCTAACAACTTCATTATCCTGCAGTTTGTCCAGAGCCTAGCCAGGAGTCTCCTGTGTGAGGAAGAAAGTGAGGAGGCCACATCCACAGACATGCAGGAAACCACTGAATAAAGTAGTTGGCAGAGGTTGGGCATGTTGATACAATTGAACATTGATATTGGTCCTGGGAAACAAGCACAGACTGGCTCATCGGTTAACCGTTTAAATGAATACACTATCACACATGGCTACATTTCTATCACTATCCCTTGTTGGGATAGTAAATAAAGATTCTGTTGTTCTGAAATCATGCATTTTTATTTAGACAACACTGAATGGAAAAGGAATTATGGCATCGCAAGGGTCTAATACTATAGAGAGGGGTCGGGGCTCCATGAGCCATCTCTCAGAATTGAGTGAATGGCTTCCCGGGCCTTCCCTTTCACTGCCTTGCATTTGAAGACATTTGGGGGAGGAGGCTATAGAAACTGGTGAGGAGGGCATGTGGGTGCAGTGGGGCTCTGTGCTCTAGCTGCTTTTCCTGCACCTCTCCCACATGCCTCATCAGGTTTGTTTGCTCTATCATGAGCCTCAACATCTCATCCCATGTGTTAAATTCATGTTCTCTGCATGCTCATCTGTTCTGTTTGGCATAGATGACTTCTAGCAGCATGAGTTCCGTGCATTGAGTTGCCCCGCCACCCTCCCTCGCGGCAACCCGGCTGAGCAGGCAGCACTCAGCGAAGCGCCATGGCGGGGGGGGAAGAGAAAGAGGAGGCGGGGAGAGATGGAGGGGAGAGAGGCAGGAGGAGAAGAGAAAAGGAGGGGAAGAGAGGCAGGAGGGGGAGAAGAGAAAGAAAGTCAGAGAGCAGGAAGCGGAAGAGAGCTGAGAGAGAGGGGGGAGGCTGTAGGGAGAGAGCGAGAGCGAGCTCAGGAGAGAAGACCTGAAAATCCTGTCTTATAACGGGCTAATTGGCTAGTTTATAAAGAAAAACCTGGAGGATAAAAAGAAGAGCGGAGAAACAAATGCAAAAGTGTTCTCACTAGACAGAGAAAGAAAGTCAGAGAGCAGGAAGCGGAAGAGAGCTGAGAGAGAGGGGGGAGGCTGTAGGGAGAGAGCGAGAGCGAGCTCAGGAGAGAAGACCTGAAAATCCTGTCTTATAACGGGCTAATTGGCTAGTTTATAAAGAAAAACCTGGAGGATAAAAAGAAGAGCGGAGAAACAAATGCAAAAGTGTTCTCACTAGACAGT